TGCGTGTGTGCAAAATACGTTTACGAATGCGCGTTTAATGTATAACGGATGGTATAAGCTAAGCTAAAATTATCTATTTCAGTTAATGTTGCAGATTGCGTTGTTCCTTAATCTTCGAATTGGATCTGGCTTATTATTTTTTGCAGACTGTTAGAGCAATTTTATAAAAGTAAGCTTGAACTTTCGATTATGTCAAATAGAATTTCTGATATATATTTATTAATATGTAAAGGATCTACAAAGCGAAAGAATGTTTCGAAGTTCATTAAACAAAAAGTGGAATTGCTGCAAAAAATGGATAAAGGCATATCCTTTGTTTATCTAAACTTTGTTTATCTTTAACACCGCCGCGCACAATGAATTGGAAGTTGATCTGTCAGCACTATCCTTATCTTCAGGGCAGATGTTTTTATTTTATTTTATTTGGCTTATAATTCCTTACTAAATGTAGTATTTCATCTCGATGTACACCGTCTTTGATATGATTTAAATCAAATTCCTCGTCATTATAATTTGCTTCCGATAGCGAAGAAAGTGACAGAGGTTACTGAAAAAGAAAAAATTTCAATTGACAAATTAGTCGGTAGACACAGCAATTATAGGACTTGAACAGCAGAACTTTGTAACTGAACAAGAAATTAAAGAGAATGTATTATCACATAAAAAACGAAGCAACTTAAAACAACTTACATTGAAAGAAATGTTTAATAAAGTAAACAAATAAATATTAAGCTTTTTTTTTTTTTTTTTTGTAAATTTTGATACCCTTTAGATCATAGTTGTTCTTTATTTCATAAATTACGGTTTCATAATTTTAATTTTATAATTTCTACATGCCATCTTACCAGATTTAAACTGATGATCTATAATCCGGAATCGCTGAAGTCCCGACGAGTCCGGATTAATGACTTTTGACTGGAGTAGTATTATTGATACAGAATTTGAAATAAATAATAGACTGTCGAACGCTGTTAAAGAGAATAAAGTAGAAAATACAGTAATTTTGGAAAATTCTGTTGCGCGTTTACCTAAGATTTCGTTACCGACATTTTCAGGAGAAATGCATTCTTGGCTTTCCTTTAAGAATATTTTTAAAGCGAGTATTGATCAAAACCCAAATTTATCAGATGCTGTAAAATTGCAGTATTTGAAATCAGCATTTAAAGGAGATGCTTTTAGAATTTATCCAAACGATAGCTATAACGGATAATAATTATAAGTTAGCGTGGTCTCTCCTTGAAGAAAGATAGTCAAACACTAGAGAACAAGTGTTAGCTCATCTCAAAAGATTTATGATTATTCCAGTTATTCAAAATGAGTCAGCTTCTGCGATTCTAAATTTAATTGATGTTACAAGTGAAGTTGTAAGATCATTCGAATGTTTAGAACAAAAGTTAGATGGGGTTTCATCCCCTATATTTGCCTTTATTCTTAGCCAGAAACTTGATCAGAATACTAAGTTATGGTGTGGGAAAGAAATTTAAAAAAAAAAAAAAAGAAAAAATACCAAACATCACAGTTTATTTTTATCAGAGTTATTAGAATTTCTAAAGGATCACGTGAGGACATTAAATGCTTCTAGAATTCCAGTAATGCATAACCGAAGTTAGACAAACGTGAGAATCGTGTATTTATTTGTAAACTGTGTAAGGTGGAACATAAATTATTTAAATAACTTAGAATTCACAAATTCAGCTTAAAAGATAGAGTATGTAAAAAAGCACAATTTATGTTTCTGCTGTTTTGGAAATCATAGTGAGAAATTGCTCTTGTCGGCTATGCAGAAAAAAAGCACACTTCATTACTGTGTTATGAGCGAGAATAAATAATGTTCTCACTAAAAAGAGAACTCAGAAATGTTCTCACTAAAAAGTTTTGATTATTTTGAGTTTGAAAGTTTTGATTATCCAAACTGAGAACAGCTGTGAAATCGTGTCTCCATCGGATCAAAAGTCAGACAGCAGTCAGTCTACAAAAACCACCAAACTCAATGTTCACACAAAGCCATTCATAAATAAGGATAACGAGTGTTTTATGACAGCTAATGTAAATAAAAATTGTAATGCAGTTAATAGAGTCCTACTATCCACAGTGATTGTTTTTATTAAGGGAGATATTTCCAGCCAGAACTTTGCCTGTTAGTGGAAGTAAGTCTTTGTTCATCAGAATTAGCTGAAAAGCTTCATTTGCAAAGAGAAAATGTAAACATATCAGTAGGATGTTTATCTCGGATTTCAACAATGGTGTAAATTTAAAATGAGTGCAGTTATTTTAAATAGAGAAAATATGTACAGTCGTAAACTAGATTTTTTTGTAATCCCTAAAATTACTCATTTGACGCCATCTAGACATATTGATGTCTGTAATATTGTGATTCCACAAGGAGTTACATTAGCTGATCCACAATTTCACAAACCGGGTAAAATTCAGTTACTTCTTGAATCTGAAATATTTTTCGATTTGATAAGATTTGGGCAAATTTACGTACCAAATACAAATTTAGTGTTACAAAACTCAGCATTTGGATATTTAGTGAGTGGGAGCTTTGAAGATTTACCACATGAGAAACAATTAATGCATTGTGGGTTAATTTATGACAATGCCAAAGTACAGTTGGAGAAGTTTTTGATTTGGAATCAATTGGTATTAGAGATGATCAATTCTTATGATGAAGATAAAGCATTAGAGATGTTCAATAAGTCTGTTAGATTCAAAGGTGGTCGATATGTTGTTAGCCTACCCTGGAAGAAAAGTTGGGAACATTTAGGCGACAATTTTAGTGTTACAGAAAAAAGAATAAAGATCCTGATGAGGAAAATGCAGCATGATAATGCATTATAACTAAAATGCAGAGAAACTTAAGTGGGAAGAGTACATAAATCAAGGAATAACAGAAAGAGTATTAGATTGTACGAAACCAATAAACAAGCCAGTTTTTTTATATACTGCATCAGGCAGTTTATAGCAAAGAAAGCATTACGACAAAAATGCATATTGTATTTGATGCGAGCTCACATGAAATAGGTAGTTTGTCCCTAAATGATCGTTTGTGGCCTGGTGTTAATTTGAATCGAAGTATATTTCACTTGCTGATATATTTTAGACTTAATAAAGTTGCAATCTTATATTTTTATTTGTTTAGAATGTTGGTACACCTATGCAGAATATCGAGGATCAGTTAGAATTGTATAGATTTAAGCGTGCACTCTTTGTTAACACAAAGAGTGCACGCTTAAATCATTTTAGATGAACTCTTGAATATTAGTAACAATTATTATAAAATTATTAATGTTCTTTCTTATATTTGTAATTGTAGGAATGGATAAAAAAGGTAGGCCCTCTTCAACTAGAGGAGGTAAGAAGAGCTGAGGAAATGCTTATTAAGCATGAGCAGAGGGTTCTATTCTGTAAAAAAAGACATAACAAGCAACTTAAAAATTTACATCCCTTTGTTGATCGTAAAGGAATAATTCATGTTGGTGATCACTTTGAGAAAGCTTTTTTACCATTTTCTCAGAAATATCTTGCGATCCTCCCAAGAAATTTTAAGCTAAGTAACATTTATTTTTCTAGTGTGCACAGAAGATTATTGCATGTTGGCCCTCAAGGATTATTGAATGCAGTACGTTTAAAATTTTGGCCATTAGGTGGTAGAGATTTGGCATGAAAAACAGTACATCTTTGTGTGACATGCTTTAAATGCAAACCAATTTTGTCTTTACAGATTATGGGTAATTTACCATAAGAGAGTTAGTAGATTCCCCCCCCCCATTTAGTGTTTCAGGCTTGAATCTATGAGGTCCATTTTATGTAACTTACAAGCATCAGAGAAAGGGCATGCTAAATAAAATTTACATTTGTGTATGTATATGCTTTGTGACATGAGCTATTCATCTTGAGTCTTTGTCAGATTTGACTTCTAGTGCTTTAATTACCACTCTTAAGCGTTTCATGGCTAGATGTGGCAAATGTGCGAAAATATTCACTAATAATGCCCCCAATTTTGTACGAGCAAATTCTCAGCTGAAGAAATTCTACAATGTAATTAAATTTCCTGACAAAATGTTGTCTTCATATTTCATGTCCGAAGGAATAGACTAGAACTTTATACCTCCCAAGTTCGCTCATTTTGGAGTGTTATGGGAAGACGGTGTAAAGTCTGTAAAGCATCACTTAAAGAGAACGATAGGAAATTTGCGTTTACGTACAAGGAGTTTAAAACTATAATTGTGCAGGTAGAGGGAATACTAAATTTGAGATCTCTTATACCCATTTCCAATGATTCTGATTGTTATTGATTTTGATGTTTTTTCACCCCAGATCATGTCTTAATAGAGAGATCGATACGCGCGATTCCAGAGCCAATGGTAGTAGATGTAAATGGAAATCAGTTAAGCCGGTGGCAGAGAACAACGAAAGTAGTTCAGATTAATTGGAAGAAATGGGCAAATGACTATTTGGGAACTCTGCAGCAGAGAACCAAATGGATGGTAGAGAAGGACAATATTTGCGTCGGTACTATGGTACTTGTCAAGGAGGACTATCTGCCAGTTTGCAAATGGATATTAAGTCGGGTTAGTTAAGTCTATCACGGATCTGACAATAAAGTAAGAACTGTTAAAATCAAAACAAAATCAGGAGAATTAAAAAAAGCAATCACAAAGATCGCCATGCTTCCTATAGAAAACTGAACTGATATTTTTGTATATGTAAAAGAAAAATTGTATTTTGTTCCAGTATTGTAATAGCAGTAGTAATAGTATTAAGTTGTTTATAAATACATTAATTTGCTTTAAGAATGTTTGGATAATTTCTTGAAATTTTGTAATTTTAATTTGGGAGTGTTAAATCCTTTTGAAGCCAGATGGCGCTGCCATTGTTATTGTTTACAAAAGAATATTATTACTTTTTAGAGATTGCTTCAATGGCGAAGTAGCGTGAGTGTGGAAGCCTGAGTGTTTTTCACAAATGAGTAAAATAAAGATAATGAGATATTATAGTATAGTTTGTTAATTATAGTTAGTTTAATTAAGAGTTACAGTCCATTCTGAATTATCTGTACACCAACATCTACATTTCTTGGTATCCATATCACATGATGTAAAGTTTCTCATCTTACTGCCAGAGTAAACTAGAAAAAACAATACAAATATATTACAAGTCAATTAAAAATACTGTTGCATATGTTAATAGATAACTATTTTGACATAAAATTTACCATTCAGTAATCAATAAAGAACCTAAAACATCTATTTTGTTATACTGATTTCAAATGCTTCACAATATTTGTATTTTTAGTAATTTTTAACCATTAAAATTAATAATAAAACTCTGGTAGACTTTCTTCGATATTTTACCACTTGTCCCTTTTTAAAGTTCAATGATGGTCAGTAAGTATTCTGACATTCCATCTTCTGGTACAATTTATTTCATTGCATATACATCTTGCTGAAAATATTTCACATGATGTGTCATAACACAAATGCTTCCCAGGTATTTAGGATTTCTAAATATCACCATTATATATATATATAAAATCAGGGTTGCTCATTAGATCCCTTATTTAAGAAATAATAAAAGATGCTTTTCTTAGTTTTTGGCTTTATCAATTTTAAGGTGACATATTCAAAATATTTTGGAAGAAAACTCCTTAGAATAATTTTTCTCTTTCACATTACCTTAAACTACTGATTACCCCAGATCACTTTGGGATCACCATGTAAAGGAGAAGCTAGTTTTTAATTACAAATAATGGGGGGGGGAGTGTGTGTTTTACTTTTAAAGGTAAGGCAGATATAAAAATTGTTTGAAATAGTTGGAAATAAATGGATGTTCGATAGTGGTGGCTTGGAAACAATATTTAAAAAAAATGACTCCTTCTATTTCTGTTCAATGGTTTTTCCTAAAATCTAATTTAATGTGAAGAATTGCCAAACACATAGTTTGATGTACTTAGAAAAAACATTCTGTTTAAATAACAACAATTTCAAAAACATTTTACTGGAGCTAATGTCCTTTTTTTTCTCAGATCAGAATTTCACAGTACATTACTATTTTTCTTTCCTTTCACACCTACACTAAAAGCAATAGTACTGTATGTATCTGAAGCTGCAGACCAAAGACTAGAATTATTACTTTCAGACAGTTTAACCTCAAAATAAAGCACCTCTTACATTAAATCAAAAGAACTGGAGGGGGGGAAGAGAGAGAAAGACAAATTTGTAATGAATATTTAATTTTTTGGATTTCTTTTGTTTAAGATGTGTTTGAAGAAGGCAAAACTATTTCTTGTGTCATTGGAAAAAACAAAATCAGAATGAAAATTTTGATAAATACAGTACAAAGTCCATAATCCGGATTAATAGGGACCGGCGATTCCGGATTATAGATCATCAATTTAAATTTGGTAAGATGGCATGCAGAATAATACAATTAAAAATATGAAATAGTAATTTACGAAATAAAGAAAAAAACAGTTATGATCTAAAGGGTATCAAAAAAAAAAAAAAAAAAAAAAAAAAGCTTAATATTTATTTGTTTACTTTATTAAATATTTCTTTCAATGTAAATTGTTTAAGATGCTTCCACAAAAAATTCAAAAAGTTCCTTTTTCTTGTGTCATATATAATGCACTTTCCAATGCCATTATTCTCGCATAATTTTGAGACAAATAGGCCTTTATCCATTTTTTGCAGCAATTCCACTTTTTGTTTAATGGACATCGAAACATGCTTTCGCTTTGTAGATCCTTTGGCAGCTCCAGAATTGGAAACTTTTTCTGACACAATCAAAAGTTAAAGTTTAATTTTTATAAAATTGCTCTAACAGTCTGCAAAAAAAAAAAAAAAAAAAAAGTTGGATCCAATTAGAAAATTAAGGAACAGCACAATCTGCAACATTAACTGAAATGCCTTAGACTATTTTAGCCTAGCTTATACCGTCTGTTATACATTAAACACGCATGTGTAAACACATTATGCGTTTACGCATGCGCATAAAGTTTGTAGTTTTGAGGTTGGGATTATAAGATCATTCCGGATCATGGATGTCCGGATTACAGACTTTGTACTGTATTTACTATTATTTTTTTAATTAAGAAGTGAGAACGAACAGTAAGTTGATTTGAGACCTTTTGTGTTGTTTTGATACCTACTTCGGTGAATTTAAGCAGTATAGGTAATATAAAGATAACCCAGAAGTCATTTTCCCTGCATTCTTAGAATGTATGAAAATTATGTGAAAACGATGGCCAAAAAAAAACTACATGCAAGTTTAAATTTCTAGTTGTTTCATTCTTATTTCATGTTCCTTGCTTTTCAAATTTTATTGACCGATTACTCTTTCATAGATTTTGGGTACTTAAGATATAAATAAAACTACCCCATCACAGTTTGATCTTTTTTACTGCAGAGAAGTGTTTGTGATAATTGTAAATTTTTTTTATTACACATATATATAATTTATATTTGAATTATGTATTTATCCCACAAATTAATCAATAAACTTACTTAGAAGTAGGATTTTATTTCATCTGTTCTTACAGATTTTCGTGGGGACCGTTTTAAGAAGAGATTGAAAGCAACTCATGCTTTTATGATTTTGCAGCAAAATGCTGTATTCTTGCAGAAACGTTACTGCAGTTTCTCCCACTGCTGGTAAATCTCACAAGCACATATTTCAAAACTCAGCTTAAGATTAAAAAATTTCACGATTCTGCTACAAAAACGTTGGAATTGGGGGAGGGGGAAAGAGAGAGAGAGAGAGAAAGAAAAAGGGGGAAAAATGCAGAATTATGCATGGTTGCTCGATATCAGTGCATCGATTTCTTCTAAGGTGGCTTTGCTATTATATAAGCACTAAAATTCATACTGTGACAGCAATTTGGCTCCTGTCTTTGGACATTAATTTGCCAAAAAGTTTGAAGTCTTGTTGAGGCATATCCCTCTATGGGAAGAAACCCTTTCAGATAACCAGCAATAAAACTTACAAGGGTATTAGTAATTTATACTGCCGAGCAGAAGTTTTGTATTTTCATTATGTTTTTTAAGTAAGTAGTACTAACTGAAGGGTACTTCATTATGAAGCAGACTTTTTTTTACAAGAATTTTTATTTTTAGGATTGTTTTGATACCACAAACTCTAAGTAATGAGTTTGCACTTCTGCAGTATATAATTTAATGATTTTTGAAGAGTACGTGTTCTGAAACAATTGTCTCAAACTGCATGTGGACCGAATGCACAATCTAAAAATAACAACAGAAATCTTTCATTTTCTGAAAACTTGACTATATTTGTATGGTTCAAAATAATAAAACATAAATCAAATAAACCATTTTTTACAATATTTTTGCTAATTTTCTTGGCCTAATTGTTATTTTTAAATTAGTTACATGTGATTATTTGTATTATGGTGGCTGCATATTAAATGAAAAATACAAGAAGTTGATGAAACATTCTTTTAAAAATGCCACTGAAAAAAAAAAGGGGGGGGAAGGGGGATTGGAAATCTCAATACCTGTTATTTTAAAATAAGCAATTCAAGGGCACACTTTTCTTTGCTTCGTAACCATGGTAATAATTTCTGAGGAAGATGGTTGAATCCTTTAATTTGCTGAAACCCTCTTAATTTCTTTTGTGCAATAATGACATATGTCATAAATGAGAGGAGTGTGTTAAGAACTTGAAGTACTTAACAACAGAACTGTCATAGCAATATACATATTTTAAAAATTTTTTTCTTCAGGAACAAATTCCATCTAACCCATAGTAATTTATGGTAAAAAGAGTCTCACACAACAAACAATATCACAGAACAGATTATTCTGCAATGCACAGTTATAATTAACTTCTAAGCTTTACTTCTCATTTTTTCCCATCTTGTAATAACGTGTATTTTCTGATGTTATCAATATAAGCTTCCTAACTTTTCAATCACAGACATTATAAAATGAACTGAAATAATAAATGACAGTAGAAATGGCATGTTAAATGAATTAAAAATGAAAAATTCTTACCTAAATGGTGTCATTTCTGGCATTCCAGGTTCTGATCCCTTTCTATATCCTATAATCAAAATAAAATTATATGCAAGTCAAACTGAGATAAAACATTTAAAAAAAAATAGTTACTGTGAAAAGAAGCTGTATGCAACACATTACTGAATTAATGACTGTACAATTTGATGAAAACAAAGCTTATATAAAAGATTAGCTTGCACATGATGTTCACTTCATTATTTATATTTTAGTAGCAGGTGTTACATCCAAAATTAGATTTTTCTTCAGTTATAAATGTATACTATTTGTCAATATTATGGTCTCAAGAGATAAAAGCTGTAAACATATTAACTTTAGAGCTCTACAGAATTTATTGCTGATTTTGAATTAAAACATAAGTTTTGAATTCTTTGTATTATTTCTTAAGCCATCCCACAAAGAGATGCTATGACCAGAGATAACTCTCTGCAAGCAGAAAAAAGTTTCTGATGTGCCAGTGGCATCAACTGGTTTAAACAGTACAAAATAAACAGGCAGAAAATGTCCAAAGTGACCAGAACCCCTCAAGACAGCAAGCACAGCAGTAATGCATCTGGCCATGCACTCACTGATATTGTACAGAATGTATGGCTCTGACCTGTAATGACTTTGGCAACGAATTCATTTTAATAAATCTTATTTTATGATTAGTGCCCCTTATCATCATATCTGTCCCCCTTAATATCAACATATCTTTCCCTCTTAAACTTCAGATGTTGCATGTTTAGTACTAAGTCCGATATCTGGACCTACAGACCACTAGCCACAAGATGAATACAACAAAATAATAAACTCTCCTACAAAATTTAATTGAGAATATAATACTCAACAAAAAGCAGATGGGCATTAAATGTGATTCCACTGACTGAGATTCCTGCATGTTACTGTAAAACAACAGCCTGCTAGGCTATTATACAGAATTAAAGTAATAACATTACATTGATTGACATTTTATTAATGTTAGTCAGGATGACAGTTTCGGCCCTTGAGTGGCTTTGTGTGTGGAGGGGCAGAAGCAGGCTACGCATTTGCCATACCCAGTATAACCTCTGCAGATCCTAAATTCTGCTGCCAGGTACCTTCCCTAAATTCTAAAAATTTTGCCACCCCTAAATTCGATTCCTCAGTGCTCCTCTAAATTTTAAAACTTCTTCAACCAGCGCAGGACCAAATTTAGATATGAAGAGATGCTAAGTTGTAGCGAAGCGGTATCTTAACTTTAAATTAATAATCCTAAGAATACAACACTGCAAGTGGACTGTAAATTAACTTTTTATTGGGTAGTTTGAACTTTCGAACACAACACAGCACAAAGTAAAGCGACAGAGTTACAATTAGCGGTTTTAAGAATGCAAGAACAAAATGCGAGCTGCGCATACAATCTGCGCATTGCGAAATAATATCTCACAGACAGGCAGAGAGCTCTGGTGGCCAAAGCATTCCGCCCGGCGTTGAAACATCGTTTCAAACTAAATAGCTTTTACAAAATGAAATTATCATAACAATATTAAATTATGCAAAAATGTATCATTAAAATATTCACAAGAAAACATAATATGAAATTATGCAATGAAACTAAACTGTTCTCAAAACAGATGCACAGAAGCCTTGATACAATTCAGGAACTTAATTATAGTTAAAGTAAAGTACAATGTTATAATGCTTTAGGGGAAAAACTTAATTATTGATAGGCAAAACACCAAGTTTGTGAATTGGCCTTTTGAAAACTTCATTAGCAGTTTTGAGTTTCACGATACGCACAATATTATCTGAGCTAGGAAAAACTTCCATTGGTTTTCCTCTTTGAGTTACAAAGTGCTTCAAAGCGGCAATAAATGATCCTGATGCAAGATTACCTACTAATTCAATATGTATAGCTCTTGTAGTAAAACACACGAATACACAAATGTAGCATTTCATTGGTTTTACTCCTCGACCTTGCCTGGGTTTCACTTGAAATGGCCCGGCGTAGTCAATTCCAACTTTGGAGAAAACCTTTGACAGAACGACTCTAGACAATGGTAAATCAGACATTATCTAGGTATATGTTTTAGCTCATACACGACGACATTTCACACATTTCCAAATCTGTTGTCTTACAACTGACCTAGCGTGGATTATCCAATATTCTCTTCTAATTACTGATAGCAATAGCAGGGGGCCAGCATGAAGATGGGATTCATGAAAATGATTCACTATAATCTGTGTTATGTGATGTTTCTTGGGCAACAAAATAGGATATTTTCTGTCCTGCGCGATGTTGGATTGTCTTAATCTTCCTCCAACGCATATAAGTCCATTCTTATCGATAAACGGGTTCAAAGAAAGGATCTTACTATTTGAGTTTAACGGTTGATTCTTTTTCAGAAGATTATATTCATTAAAAAAACTCATCCATTTGAACTACTCTAACAATTGCATTTCTAGCGTATTGAAGTTCTTCGGTTTTAAGGTAACCCTTAATCCTTGTTGCGGTAGATTTAGCTGAATTATTCGCAAACATAAAACACCATGCGATGATTCTTTTAAGTTTCAAAAATGATGAAACTTCATTAAGGACTGGAATTTGCGAAGCGACTGTTCCAATTGAACAAGAAATATTTTTCCGTTGTTCCCTTAAAGACTCTTCTGAAAATGGTAAGTTGATAGAGAACAGAATACTATTTGAATTAAGCCACTGAGAACCTGTCCACCACAAGTCATGAGTAGAAAGATCTGAAGGCAAAAGACCTCTTGATGCGCAATCAGCTAGATTCTCCTTTTCTTTTATGTGATTCCAATGCGATGAAGGTATGACTGATTGAATTTCTGAAACGCGGTTGGCTACGAAGGTTTGCCAGCATGTTGGTTCTGATTGTATCCAGAACAAAACTATCATTGAATCACTCCATGCGTAAATATCGTCAACATGAATTTGTAATGAATTCTGCACAGCTTGAACAAAATGCACTAATAGAACTGCAGAGCAGAGTTCTAAACGAGGAATAGAAATTACTTTCAGGGGAGCTAAGCGAGTTTTTGATGTTAGTAGCTGTACCGAAACTGAAGAATTGTTTGAAGACTTTAAATAAATCACTGCGGCGTAAGCTTTCTCTGATGCGTCACAGAAACAATGAAGTTCTACATTTGTAAATTTGGGCAATAATACTCTCCTAGGAATATGAATGCATTCAAGATTTGCGATATCTTCACAATAGATTTTCCAACTTTGATTGATTTCATCTGGCAAGGGATCATCCCACGAGATTTGTAATTTCCATATGTCTTGAAGCGATTTTTGCTGCAACTATAAAAGGTGCTAACCAACCAAGTGGATCAAAGATTTTTCGAAATAGAAGATAAAATCCTTCTTTTAGTAGAACACTCTCTGTTTTCGAGATTTCCAAAGTGACAAGTAAACTCGTCTTGCGTTGGATACCACTCCAAACCCAATAATTTTATTGATTTAGTATCAACTACTGTACGTGACGAATTTGAGTTCCGAGCACTCAAAGCAGTTTCCAAAATCGAGCGATCATTTGTACACCATTTATGCAATTGAAAGCCACCTTTTTGTAAAAGTTCACTCAGTTGCAATTAACTCTACTGCGTCCTCTACTGTGTCTGAACCAAATAGGACATCATCAATATAACAATTGTGTAATATTATTTCAGCTGCCTTTGGGAATTTAGCTCCTTCGTCAATTGTTAGTTGTTTGAGTAGCCAGGTATGAAGCTGAAGTAGTGCCGTACGTAACTGTGCACAACCTGTAAATTTTAATCGGCTTTGATGGATCATCTCTCCAAAATATTTTTTGGAAATCGCGATCTTCATCCTGAATTTGAACTTGTCAATACATTTTCAATAAGTCGCTAGTAATGGCTATGGGATAGCATCTAAACCTCAAAAGAATAGTAAATAAGTCGTCTTGTACCTTGGGACCATTCATTAGCGTGTCATTAAGCGATATCCCCGATGTAGTTTTGGCACTAGCATTGAAAACGACGCGTAGTTTTGTGGTAAGACTGGATTCTTTTAGCACGTGATGATGAGGTATATAATAATGAAAATTTACTTTATCTGGATTATCATCGGATAATTCTTCCATGTGTCCAAGTGATAAATATTCGGACATGAAATCTTTATACTGTTGATATACTTCAGGAGTTTTTATTAATTTTTGTTCTAGACTAAGAAAGTTGCGAAAGGCTAATGGTCTGGAATTACCCAACTCATTTCTTTTAGGCTTGAATGGCAGTTTTACTGAGTAACGACCATTTTCACTACGCATGTGATTTTCCACGAAATGATTTTCACACAATCTTTCCTCTTTATTTAAAGATTAAAGATTTCGATGTGGGAATTTGTTCCAAATCCCAAAATGATTTAACTAATTCCTCCGTGTTTACGTTTAGCGTATTGACTGAAACCTGTTTAGGGTTTGGGAATTCAAAATGTGTAGTTCCAGCAATTACCCATCCTAATTTAGAACAACATGCAAATGGAAGATTTTTGCCCCTTTTAATTACCTCGCCATTGATTAAAGTAAGGAATACATTAACTCCAAGTAAAATATCAATTTCTCCCGATTCATGAAATGTAGGATCTGCTAAAGTTAAATCTTTGAAACTTTAATATAAATTCAAAGGTAATGTTACACTTGGAATGTTTCCTGTAATTTTGTCTATTATGTAAGCGGACGTTGAAATTCTGTAATTAGTATTAAAATGAGATGTAAACAACAACTCAACTTCTCCAGTAGTAGTTGTATTGAAAGTACCTAAGCATGACACTAATATCTTCGAATCCTTATACGCTCAATCCTGAATTGATAGCTGTTTTCCGACGAATGAATGATTTTTCACTACCTGGAATCTAGTAAACATCTACAATTTATGAATTCATTTTTTGAGTTTTGAACCTTAATTAAAGCAGTACACAAAAGTACATGACTACGTTTACCATTATCATGAGCTCCAACATGTTTATTCTCATAGTTGTTTGCACAAACAGTAGGAGAAACTTCACTCAAGTTGTTTTCTGGTTTAATTTGAGATTTCTGGACAAACACTTGTGCTTCCGGTGAAGGGAATCTAGATGCACTTTTTGGTTTGAAATTATTTTCTAAATGCAAAATGCTATGATGATGCTTAAAAC